AACTCACACCCACTGGTGAGTCAACATTCCTTAATCCTCACCATAACCAGCAAACAAACCTCTGTAGAATCTGGCTACTGCAGAGAACTTTTTATCCCAACTTTTTAATCCAAAAAAATTTTTATCCAAACTGGATAAAAACCAATACGCTTTGTAAATTTTCACTCAAATTCCAAATCTAAAAATTGAAGGGGAAGAGGATTCCCTCCCCCCCAAAAAAAAAGAAAAGGTAAACCTTTACTCTTTGGTTTCTACAGTTTTCAATTCGAAACATTTTGGCCACAGTCTCCTCCAAAAACACTGCAAGCTGGATTTTTTTTCTTTTTTATCTCAAGAGAGTAACCAAAGCAAAAGAGGCCTGTGTTGAAATATACAAGCAGGCAATCCTATATGCATGTGTAAAGGCTAATAAATCTCTGGCAAGCAACTTGACAATGTATGTCAAAGTTATAAAATATTCATACCTTTTGACCTAGTAATGCCACTTTTGGGAATTTGTTCTTTAAAAATTGTTCCAACAAATATTTTTTTTAAAGCAGATGAAGGGGTAGCTCTGGTGGCCTAGTGGCAAGAAGCTGCACTGCAACCACGAAGGCACACAGTTCAAATCCACCAGATGCTCTGCTGAAGGAGGAGGGGCAATCTCCTCCTGTACCAATCAGATCCAATTTGATGGTACACACAAACTATAAAATAAAATGTAAAAAAAAGCAGATGAAGGGTTTTATACACAAAGCTGTTCATTCAGTACCAGATACTCGTTTACCATCGCCATAGAGTGGAAACTAACTCATAGGTGACCCTCCAGCAGGTTTTTCAGAGGCATAAGAGCACACAGAAGGACACCGCCTACCTTCCCATGCAGCAGCTGATGGATCTGAACTGCCTGCCTCTGAACTGGCAGCATAGCTCCTTACCCACTAAGCCACAAGGGCAAAAAACAAAATTATTAAATGCTGGTGAAATTTTATACAGCAATTAAGGACTATATTTTTTTTTCTGGTGTTTTGTTTTACTTTTGTGCCTCTGAATCAGATCCGAGTGGCACAGGAGGAGACTGCCCTTCCTTCTCCAGGGGAGCATCTGATGGATTCGAACAGCGCACCTTTGGGATTGCAGCACAACTTCTTGCCACTAGGCCACCAGAGCTCCATAATGAAGGACTATTTCTACAGACATAAAATCTTAATAAAGAACACCAAATGCAGCGTGGTGCATCGGCCACAACTCATCCTGACCATTCATAATGTTTCTGAGGGTATAAATCTTAAGAAGGAGTCTTGCCTAGGTACATCTCTCACAGCAGCTAGTGAACTCAAACAACCAACCTTTCAGTTAGCAGTCCAACACGTTACACACTGCGGTACCGCTGCTGTTATGTACCGTAGATGCGGAACCAACCCATTGCTGACCCTCCAGTGGGTTTGTAGAGGCAGTTAATCACATAGGAGGAGACTGCCCATCCTTCTTCCTTCTGGTGGCCTCGAACCTCATGCCTTCAGGATTGCTGTGCAGCTTCTTACCACTAGGCCACCAGTACTCCCCTGCTGCAGCACCAGGGTCCCTTAATAATCCTAATAATGTATAAAATAATTTTTGGAATAGAAAGAATTGTTTGTGTGTATATATATGTGCATAGGAGACTCTATCACCCCACAGAAGATATATAATCTTTAGGAATCTTGCCTCTATTTGCTAATTTTTGTAAAATTAGTATTCCATGTGTCAAGAAATTATAAAAGTAGGGGAGTTCTGGTGGCCTAGTGGCAAGGAGCTGCAACTACAATCCCAGAGGCGCACGGTTCAAATCCACCAGATGCCCTGCTGGGGAAGGAGGGGCAGTCTCCTCCTGTACCAGTCAGATCTGATTTGAAGGTACACTCACACAAAAATAATAAAATAAAATTTAAAAAAAAGAAAAAGTTTAAAAAAAAAAAGAAATTATAAAAGTATTTTTAAAGCATTTTTGTAACATAGAAAATGTTTATATTCTGAAAACTGGGAAGTTTCAAGTAAGTTGTATCTTCCATTGCTTTCTTATCTCCAGTTCTCTTTCTGGAGTATAAGCTTAGATCTACTTGTTGTTGAGAACTGTAGAGTCACAACCAACTGACCCTCCAGCTGGTTTTTTTTAGAGGGAGTAAACTGCCAGGGAAGAGACTGTTCATCTTTCTCTTGTGGGTCAGCTAGTGGATTCAAAAACTGGGTTCCTTTGGATTGGCAACACAATAATTCCTTACCACTAAGTCACCAAAGCTCCCTAGATCTACTTCTTCTTTTTGTTTGGTGCCACTCAGTATGCCTCATGGCGACTCTATAAACAACTGAGCCCACGTGAACACTGTCCTATCCTGTGTCATCCTCACAATCTCTGACACGCTTGAGCCCACTGTCGCAGTCACTGTGTCAATCCACCTGGTTGAAGGTTTTTCCCTTTTTCTTTTGCTGCCCCTCCACCTTCCAAAATGATGTCCCTCCCCAAGGATTAACCTCTCCTAGCAACAAAGACTGTGAGATGAAGCATTATCCTCTTTGCCTTCAAGGAGAACCGTGGCTGCACCTTCTGCAAGACATATCTGTGATCTTTTAGCAGTCCGTGGCATCTTCAGTACTAGATTTTCTTAGGTAATTCTAAAGAATTATTTGCTAACTCTGCAGGCTATCTGCTGATACAACCCCAAAGTAGGCCCCTGCTCTATGAAACCAATCACCATTCTACAGAATCTAAAATCATAGTTTCCTCTCTTCTCAGCACTAGGAAAGCATTCCCCTCCCCTCTCCCCCATATCTCCTAAGTCAACATTGGCAAAAGAGATACAGCTTCTGGAGGCTGAAGGCTGAAGAATCTCCCGGTAAGCTGGGAAGTAGGGCAAGAAGCAGCGGTGGCATAATCTCTGCCTGGAGGCTCAGTTATGAGTCCACCACACTCAACAACAAAAGACTCAGAAATTGGCTCCCGCAGAAAGAGAGCACAGGAGGAGTGACAAGCTTTTCCACTGAATGACTTATTATTTCTTCACTCCTGACTGAGACACCTGGGCAGAGATGGATGGCTCGCAGCACTAAAAGCTGTCAACCAAATTAACATCCCACCACTTCTTAAACCTCAAAAAGGGCCCTTGTCGAATGAGAAGCTACATCTGAATCAAACACACTTTGATTTGACTCTGCTTTCTAATAATCCCAGTCGTGTTTCCCAAGCCTATAAGCTGCACCTCAATGAGCTTGGGCTCTATGAGTTTCATCTCTGTACTTTGCTTTTGATTATTTAAACTGTCCATATGTCAGTCCACACATACTTATTCTTAAGTCCCAGGAGAGTGCGGACTCTTAACTTCTAGGTCATCTCTCTGAAGCCGTTTGTTCTGTTGTTAAATGGCCAAGCCAGCACAACTTACTGAACACTACACGGTCTTCCAAACCACAGCTGCGATTCTCTCTCTCCAAAACCCGGCCCGTGGCAGCAAGTGCCTCAGCCTGCTCCATCACGGGTAGACTGCAGACTTCCAGAAACACCACCTGCTTCCTACTTGGCAGCAAGCACTCCTGAGATCCTAAATCAGCTCAGCTAGCATCCTGGAGGCAAAAGTTCCAAGAGTCCCCAGCTCAGGTGCGCGCACGTACCTTCACACCAGGTTTAATATGCATTTGCTCACATAAATTGCCATCACGTGGCTTGATTTTCCTGCATGCGTAATGGAGAAAGTACCACCTGTCTTTCATATTGCACAAGAGGATTCTTTTTATTGTGTGTCCATTAACATCTGGAGTCAAACAAGAGTAAGAAAGATGTGTTAATAGCTCATTTAAGTTAATCTGACTTCTAGAGATTAATTTGCGAAAAAATTGATAGGTATCACGCGGAGTCCTGACAGCTGTATCTAAATGTGCAATTGAAAAGTAGAACATGATCAATGCACAAAGGTGATCCACTCGCCTTCTCTTGAAAGGCAACAGGTACTCAAGGAGAACACTACTCACGCCCCGCCCCGTCCCACCCAGGCTCACACGGATTGGCTAAAGCCCTTGGGAGCCTGGCGCCCGGCCAGCTGTGATAGGCTGAGGACGGTCGGGGGGGCGGGACATCTCGGTCCTCCACGCGACTCACCCGCTTATGCTGCGCGTCAATGCGGTGCTGACCCCCTCCCAGCAGCGCGCTATGGCGCTTGTTCTCGATGCGCTCGTTAACCGAGACAGACTGACTACAGAGACCACGGACCGAGGCGCCTCGCGCCGTCTGGGTCCACAGACTGCTCACTAGAGCGCACAGCTTTGTTCCAGCAGCAGACGCTCGCGCTACCGCCGCCATGTTTACTCCTCTGAGGTCCGGTAGGCCAGCGCTTATATATACGCATGCGCGTGGGGCGGGGTCTGCGCGTGCGCAGTGGCCGCAGGCCGACTGGCACCTGGAGGTAGGCTTGCCTTCAGACAGCAATGCTTCTCGGTTCTGAGATTCTCTGCTCTGGACCTGCAGACATAAAGTAAGTGGCTTACCCTTGGATCTTGTTACCAGCTTTGCACAGAAGTTAGGCTTAGTTCTTGTTACTCTTTAGCCTTCTGGACTCCTGATTCTGTCATCCCATTTATTCCAGAAAATAATGAATGAGTAGATACATAGTAAGAGTTACCCCATCCACACATTATGGTTACTGTAGCTCTTCCCAAGTCGCATTCTGAATGCCTTCCCACCTGAAGGGCTCATCTTCTGGCACTATATCCCTCAATGGTCATCCTTTGTCCACAGACATTTTCCAAGGCTGTTATTTCGGAAGTAGATGGCCAGTCCGCTGAAGTCTGGCCACCATAGGTGACCCTGCTGGTATTGGAAATACCAGAGGCATAGCTTCCCGCGTCACAGAAATCTACAGGTTACTCCAGGACAGCAAACTAACAGAAGAGGGGTGACTTTCACCCCGTGAACGACCTTATCAGTGTGTTGGCTTGGCAAGACTCGAAATGAAAAATAGCAGCAATCATACAATAATAATCAGAACATGGATGTATAAAGTATGACTCTAGGAAAATTAGAAGTTGTTAAAAATTAAATGGAACCCGTAAAGATCGACATTCTAGGGAATATGGCTTGTGAGCCAAGATGGGCTGGTATTGGCCACTTTGTATCAAACAATCACATGCTCAACCATGCAGGGAAATGGCAGATTGAAGGAGAATCGTGTGACATTCATTGTTAAAAGGACCATCTCAAGGTATGTCCTAAAGGACAATGTTGTGAGCGATAGGATACTATTCATAGCATACCAAGAAGTTCTGTTAACAGAATCATTTAAATATGCACATCAACAATAAAAGCCAAAGGACACTGACCACCAAGGTGGATTTGAGCGCAACCGAGAACATGAGGGAGGTGAAGATTTTTTAATTTTATTTTTTAAATTTTATTCTTTTGTGTGTGTGTATGTACCATCAAATCGGATCTGACAGGTACAGGAGGAGATTGTCCCTCCTTCTCCAGCAGAGCATCTGGTGGATTCAAACCGCACACCTCTGGGATTGCAGTGCAGCAGGTGAAGATTAGAGCAAGGTTCAGATGGCACCTAACAGCAACAATAAGAATAAACCATCATTGACCGTATACCATGCCAAGTATTGTTTTAAGTATTTATCATGCAGTAGCGTTTTTTAATCCTTCCAATAACTCTTGAAAATACATACGATTATTTGGGTTGCAAAAATAAGTAACTTGATGAAAAGCCAAGACTCAAAATGTTCTGTGCAACGATGTCACATACAATGACACTATCCTGCCCCAACCTCACAGTCTCTGATCTGCTACAGCCCTTTGTTACAATCCGTCAATCAATCCGTCTTGTCCAGGTTCTTCCTCTCTTTCTCTGACCCTACACCTTTCCCACCACGATGTCTTTTTCCAGGGACTGACCTCTCATCAACAGACCCGAAGTATGTGAGACATACACTTTCAAAAGTTAAGTTTCACCATCCTTACCATTAAGGAACACTCTGGTTGCTCTTCTTCCAAAGCAGACTTGTTTGGCGTTTTTAGCAGTCTGTGGAACAGTCGCTACCCTTCACCAAAACCTCAAGTCAAAGGCATCGATTCTTCCTCAGTCATCCTTATTCATCGTCCAATTTTCAGATGCATAGGAAGAAACTGAATACCGTGTCTTAGGTCAGGCAATCCTTAGACTTTAAACTGACACTCAGAATTCAAACTAGTCAGTGTCAAGTACAGAGAACAAGATCATTACTCCCCTAGGGAGTGGAACTCAGAGTAAGGATCCAGTCTCAGCATTACCTGGAAATGACTGATTTGGAAATACAAGTTCTCATGTTCCACCCCTGAGTGATAGAAACACTTAGGAATGGTGTTGAGCATTCTGTTTTATTAGTCTTCTATGATAACACCAACATAGAGAGAGATCAGTTGGCCTAGTGGAGAGAAAGTGATGCTACCAAGCCAAAAGTGGGTGACTTCTAATCTGCAGCCCTCAGGCCTGTTTTTCATTGTTTTTGTTCAAACAGTCTTCTAGGTGATATAACCCTGGTGTATCTGCTTGCCATACAGAGGTAACCTGTGGTTGCTGTGAAGCTGATGTGTCAAATGCGATAATGGTTACTCATGGAGGACAGTGTTTGGTGAAGCTCCCTGATTAAAACAAGCTTGGAAGCAGGAGTGACATCCACTTCCATAATAGCTTGCCTCCAGAAACCCTATGAACCTGGAGAGAGGACGAAAGTCACACAAGTGTTGAGGACTTTTGTTCGTAGGGTCGCTATGAGTTGCGACTCAATGGCACTTAACAACAATAACAATGTGATTCTAAGGCTTAAGCTCTGAGAACCACAGTTCTGGGAATTTGGAGCTAAACTCTCAGAGCTTGTTCGTCTCTTTCCTCAGGTGGCCAATAGATTTTCAAAGGAAAGAGTTCATCTCATTCTTAGCCACAAAAGACTGCTAATGTTCATCATTAACCCTTCCCTTTGATGCTCCATATATAGTCATACAGATCTGTGATAGTATTCCTTCCATCCCAAATGCAAGTCACATCCTGGTATGGGTGGGAATAGGAGGACAGTGGAGCCATCCAGCAGAGTAACTGCCCTATAGGATTCCAGCAATACCTGAGTTTCCCCCGTGTCTTCAGTTCCTTCACTGGATCACTAAATTTTTGTTATTGTGGAACAGGATTCTGTCTTTAATGTTCTCATCTTTGGAAACAGTAGCTCTAGCAATCTGGAGTCAGGCTGCCTGAGTGCAGATCTTGCTTCTTCCTCATTGTCCTCAGGTCCCTCCAGTGAACTTGAACTATAGGCCACCCTTTGGACAACAGAGCTCTGTCCTGTGCTTCCTTGCAGTTTTGGTCAGTTCCTGAATATTTTGTTAGCAGTCACTATATCAATCCGGCTCATTCAGGGTCTTCCTTTGCTTCATTGACCCTGCTCTTTTCCTTGCATGATGACCTTTTTGAGGGGCTGGCCTCCTGACAACATACACAAAGTACACGAGATGTGGTCTCTCCATCCTTGCCTTGAAGGGACAGTCCAGCTGTACTTCATCCAACATAAATTTGATTGTTCTTTTGGAAGTAAAAATTATTTCATGTTCTTCACCAGCACAACAATTCAAAGGCATCAGTTCTTCAATCTTCTTTACGAAGAGTCAGAATGTCACATGCCTATGAGGCAATTGAAATTGAAAATACCATGGCTTGGGTTAGGCAGAACATGGTCTTTAAACTGACATCTTTGATCTTTAGCACTTTATTTCTTTTCCTTGAGTGAAATGTCATAAATGATATTGATTCATCCAATTATTCATGCATGTTTTGTTTTAGAACATTGTAATTACTATTTCACTCATTCTTTTTTTTTTTTTTTTTGCTAATCCTATGGATTCCCTTAATTAAACTGTACTAGTTACTGCAATCTACTCAATCATTCTTACACACTTTATTTTGTAAAATTGTAATTGATCGATGTAATGAATGGTAATATTTAATTAGTCTCTTATCATGTATTATATATGGCTTTTGTCTTTAGTCAGCCTGTCAATTCATTTTTGCTCCCCTTCTTCCTTCTTTTCTCCTCCCTGGTAATCACCCAAAGGATAATTCTGTGTGTAAACCTTTCCTTCAATTCAAACTTGCTGTCGAGTTGGAACCACTTAAAGCATAGGAGACTTCCCATCTTTCTCTCACAGAGCCATTGGTAGATTTGAACCAGCAGAAAGATACCACCTTTGGGTTAGCTGCACGGCTCCCTACGGGCCACCCCATCAGAGCCTCCTTAGCTATGTACGTCAGTGATCTTATACCATGATATTCCTTTAGTGACTGACTTATTTAACCTATCATATTGTCCTCGAGACGCATCCAGTTTGTGGTGTGTTTTGTTACTTCCTCATTCTTTTTTGTAGTGTTACATACTATTCCATTATGTGAGCTTACACCCCTTGTGGATATTTTTTGAGCGATAGTTGATTTGCTTCCATCTCTTTGCTGTTGTAAATAATGCTACAATGAACATATTGGGTATATGTGGTAGTTCTCACTTCTTTAAAATATATATCAAGTAGCAGGATTTCTATGAAGCTCTCTTGGACTAGTGGCAAGAAGCTGTGCTGCAAGCACAAAGGCACACATTTCAAATCCACCAGCTTCTCCATGTGAGGACAATGGGCAGTCTCCTCCCATGCTGTTAACACCCTCTGAAAATTCACCAGAGGTTCAACTTTGGGTCGGTTCTGACTCAATGGTACACAACAACAGTAACAACTAAGTAATATCTAAGTAATATATAGGGAGCACTAGTGTAATGTGAGTTGCACTGTTAACTCAAAGGTCAGTGGTTTGGATCCACCAGTTACTCCTCAGGAGATAGTCTCCTCCCATAAAGATCCCTGGAAACTCAATGGAGGCTCACTATGAGTTGGAATGTACTCGATGGCAGTAAGTAGGTAACCCTGCATTGTTGTCGTGTTGTGGTTACGTGCTGTCAAGTCAAAGGCAACTCATAGCAACCCTATGAACAACAGATCTCAACTTTGCCCTATTCTGTGCCATCCACACCATCTCTGATATACTGGAGCCCAGTGTTAGTTACTGTGTCGTTCCACTCCCATCTTTCAAAGGTCTTCCATCTTTCCAAACATGATATGCTTTTCCAAGTGTTGACCCATAAGTATGTGAGAGAGTCCTTTGCCTTCCTCACCTCCAAGGAGCAGCCTTGTTGCACTTTCTCCAAAATGTACTGGTTCGTTTTTGCAGAAGCCCAAGGAATATTCAGTACTCTTCTCCAAAACCGTGTCTCAAAGGCATTCATTCTTCTTCT